CCTTTGAACAGGTTCATCCTTTACATTTAGACATTTCACAATTCCAGATTCAAACAAACTAACAAGAAATAATTTTTAAAAAATTGTTCTTTTGCTGTTTGTCTCTATGGAAATGTGTGGGGGTTATTATATTCCCTGACTGCTGCACAGGAGCAAACAACAAAGGAAGGTATCTCACTTATGCTCCTCATCTCATCTGGCTTGACTCCGTCATGAGTAATTCGTTGTGCCTGCTTGTACAACCTTTTCCGACCACGTGGTCCGGGCATACCTATTCTGCTAGCGGCTCCTGAGGAGTCTGACCCCTTTAATTTCTTTGGCTTTCTCACTTAACACACTCCCACACCAGTCCGCCAGCATGGTGCCATCACCATATCTAGCACTTGTCCTGAGTTGTCTTTCAGATTCTTTGGGTCGCATGTACATCTGTTTGGTATGGCTATCTGCTGTAATTGAGTGGTAAATTAAAACACATTCCCCCAAATGCAACACTAATGCAGGGATGTTACATAACCTCCAGTGACTGTGCCAAACTGTCATGGGGTCACATTGACAAGCTAAAAAGAGGACTTCAGGAAAACCAGGCAATAATCTTTCATTTCATACAACCGTCAAGAGGAAATCATCTTCATATTGAAGTGAAAAGCTCATTCTGGTGGGTTACAGAATGCCGTCATGCATAATACAATTGCCACACTTCAACATTCATGTGTCCCATGTTATCTTTGTTTCCCACCATCGTTTATAGGCATTGGATGTTCTTTTACCCACCACCTAAGAGAGCATGGTTTCTACACTACTAGCCTTGAATATTTTGTTTATAGTTCTCACACACTTTAGCCATGTAGCCAATGAAAAGTAAAGCTTTAATCCTTGACTATCTTAACCCTTTCACCTTTACAGTTATTTCTGTTACTTTCTTGATGCTTAGACAATTCAAACAAAGTTCCATTCTTGACAAAGATTTGGCAATAACATCATTTTACAATGTGACTTATCTTTATAGATGCCACAGTGGCTCAGTGGTTACTGCTGCTGCCTAATAGCGCTAGAGGACCTGGGTTCGATTCCAGCCCTGGGTGACTGTCTGTGTGGAGTTTGCATGTTATCCCCATGTTTGCATAGGTTTGCTCCAAGTGCTTTGGTACCCTCCCACAGTGCAAAAATATGCAGGTTAGGTGAAGTTGTCATGCTAAATTGTCCCATTGTGTCCAGTGATGCGCAGGCGTAGCCATGATAAATGCAGGGTTACTGGGATAGGGTAGGGTCTGGGGCTGGGTGGGATTGTCTTCAGGTGGTCAATGCAGACTCAGTGAGCTGAATGACCTCCTTCCGCACAGTAGGGATTCTATGATCTCTAAGTAAGAAGGCTATATTAGCGAACTCTATTGTAGGCCAACATTTTGGTTGTTGAATTTTTCCACAAATGTTAAGAGCTTGTGGTCATTATGTACCAGTGTTTTCCTTTTACCTCTGTGGCATGTTGTTTCCAAAATATTTAAGAACCAGTAGCAATGCCTGAATTTCTTTTTCCAGTGTAGGGTGTCACTTTTGGTTTCTATTTAAATTTTTTTGGTGAAGTTCCATTGGCTGTTGTGTGCCTGACTCCTCATCTTGTAGTAGCACTGTGCCTAACTACTGTCAATTGCCACGGTAGGGTTTGTGAAATTGGGAGCAGGTGACACTGATTTATTGAACAAGTTGCATTTTAGTGCTTCAAACATTGCATGGCTACACTACCATAGCTGTCTTTTGTAATAAATCTGTCCAGTGGAGGAGCTGTAGTGCTGATGTTTCTTACAAAATTAAACCAGAAACCCCACATTCCCAAAAATCTCAGTTTTCCTGTTGTTTCAAGGGCAGGGCATTCCACTAAAGTTTGTATTTTGCTGTTATTAGCAGTGCTTGACCTTGGTGTGTACTCTGCCATAAGTAGGGTACCTGCATTTCTTCATAAATTCAATTTTGGTAAGGTTCATCACCTAAATCAGCGGAATGTAATTTTCAAAATAAACTTTTAATTGTTCCAAGTGAAAATGCATATTACGATGTAAGGATAAAGCACCCAATTGGAAAAGTATATTTACCATTTCTGGAAAGTGATTGAGACTTTTGTTTTAGCATAAATGATATTACCTGGCTTGTGAAAAGACTGTATGTTTTGTGACAAAGGCTGATTTCTCTAGCTTTGCATATTAGAAGAATCTGCCAGTATCCTTTACGCTAACTTATTTCAGTAATAAATCTAGCACTGTCAACACTATCGAATAGACTTCCAAGGAATTAGTTGAGAATCTGCTTTGTAGATGCTGAATTTGATTGAACCATCAGGCCTGGGCATTGATATGACTGGGGAGCTCCAGCTGCTTTGAGAGGGTTCGAATGAGTGGTTTTCCGACTTTGATTTCTGCTTTCACCTGGGCTTGTTTCTTTGGACCTAATCTAAGAATCCTGTTTCATAGGAAATGATTCCCTTGTGTCCATATCGTGTAGCTAAAGTTTTATACATGCGAGCTTGTTGCTGTAGATTCCTTCAAATTCTGTATGTAGTCTTATTCTGGTTGCAAATATTGAAAGCATGCCAGCTGGCCTCCATAATAGTTTAGTGTCACCTAACCAAAGGGACTCAATTTAGGGGTTGCCTGGGCCCCTTTCTTCCTCATTCGCACTACCCCTTTCATCTTCCACTGTTATTACTACCTGAAATATCTGTATTTGCTTATCCTGTGGCTGACAGTGATACTGCTTCAACACATTGATGTGATGCAACCTATTATTTTTCCAGTGATCTTGGGTATCTATCAAATAATTAGCTTTACCGAACCTTTTGAGTACCTTTTTATATGGCCCACTGAATTGTACTTTGTGGTAATGTTGTAAACGCGGTAATATTAACACCTTTAATCTTTGGTTGAAATGTTTGTGGTTAGGCATGCTTAGCAACCCATTTATTCTTCGTTGTCATAATGCTGTAAGGTGTTTTGAGCTCCCTCTGGTCTAAAACCATTCCTGGGTTAGTTTCAGGGGACCTCTTACCTTGTGTCCATAAACTAGTTCAAAAGGACTAAAACTAGTAGATTCATCAGGTGAATCTCGAGTGCCAACCAACAGAAATTTCAGTTCTTTGTCCCAATCACAAGGATTTTCATGACCGCATGTCCCGATTTATTATTTTGATGATTTGACGGTACCTTTCTAAAGTTCCTTGTGTCTATTGGGGTAAGCTAAAGACCTTAACTGTGTTATACCCAGACTATACTCATTCTAGAAAATGTTTATGCATAATAGTGGAAGTTTGATATGGATTACCAATGGAGTTCCAGGTGGATCAAGTGAAGACCTCTACCTTAACAATAACTATGCTTGAGGATATAATCTGAGAATAGAGCTGCCATATCCAGAATAGTAAGGATATTTTCGTGTTCAGCTATTACTTTCAGTAAGGGTCCCACTGCTAACACACTAAAAAATGCTTCCTCAGAAATTTGTGTAGGAATTAAAGATAACAGTATTATTTCATTTTATTGTTTTCTCACCGTCTGACATGTATAGCATACTTAACAAAACTAGACCATATTCTTCTTGTGAAGACTCAGCAAGTACAAATGTCAACATATGTGTTTGGTCTTCTGGATTCTTACGTGTTACATCAGGAATTTAATGAGTAATCCTTAATGTCCATTGACATTATTTGGGTGGTACCACTGTCTAATGAGGTATTATCCATTCACAGGACTATGAAGAGGCCTCCAATTCTGAAAAGGAAGTTAACTCCTCCTGCTTTGGCTTGAACTGATTGAGCTGTTACTTAACTCTTGGTTGACTTGCTGAGTGTCAGAAGATTTATTGAATGCCTCTTTCATATTATTCAAGTTTCCAAGGAAAGTTTTGGATAAACAAATCTGTCTTTGGTGCCAACTTGACCTCATATGATGAACTTTTTGGAGATATTACTCGGTTACACAGATGGAAGAAAAGTTCTTGAAACCTTTTCCTGCAGCATTTTGACTCCTTGACTTCACTTGGCCATTTGTGGCTATGAGAGAAGCTACTATTTTTGCTCTGGCCAAATTATTCCCTATGGTTGGGTCAACTCCACCTGCAGCCAAGCCGTGGACAATCCCTGCAATTATTGTCCCAGAATTAGGTCACACTCTTAAGTGCTCCTGATACAAGGACACAGGCATATATGGACTGCTTGAAGAAAATTACTAAAACCAGTACATGTTCTCGTGGAAAAGGTGTACCTTTCCTCAATAAGAATTTGGATGGCATTTGTATCTGTTGGTATAACTAAAGGTTTACCCACAAAATTTGAGGAATAAGAAATTTCTTTCTCTTGAATTTGTTACAATTTGCAAGTATCTTGTATAATTCTGTATTTGAAAGGGGGGAAAAAAACACTTTCAGCCAATGTGTTTTGGTTCTTGAGGGAAAAAGATAATATGGCATGTTCAGATGGCTGGCACTGAGAATGTGTAGATAGATAGATATCACCATCACCGGCAGCTTGCTCAGAAATCACAGAAAGAAGGTTTCTTCCACATGCTCTCCAAGAGGATAATTGAGTTTCTCAATGGTTTCATAATAGGGATATTTCAAGAAACAGGAGAGTTGAGCTGGGAAGGTCTTTTCCCTGCCCTCGGCTGGTTACTAACTGAAAAACCAATCAATCTCCAAGCATAATATACATCCAGATGTTTGTAAACCCAGGCAAAATGTCTGCATTTAACAAACAGTTATTGCAATACTTGTAACTACGAAGAAATGCATTGTTCAAAATAACTTCATTTCTTTATATTGTGCTTTTTAAAGACAAAATCAGATCTACAGAACTTTGAAATAAATCCATTTTTCCACATCGTTCCTTCAAAAACTCAAGTTTATAAATTAAATATGAAGCATCTTAGTAACACTATGAAGATTTATAATAGCAGTTTCAGAAAAAAATACTAAATTTAATCTTTACCTTATTCATAACTTGAATTAACTTTGAATTTGTTGTGGTCAGTTGCAGGAATGAGTCCTTACTTCCAACCATTCTATCAGCCCAATGAATGTGGAAAGGCCCTTTGTGTGAGACCAGATGTGATGGAACTGGATGAGTTGTATGAGTTTCCTGAATATTCCCGGGATCCTACAATGTACTTGGCGTTGAGAAATCTAATTTTGGCTCTTTGGCATATTAATTGCAAAGTAAGCCTGTAGCATGTTTAATTTCTAGTTCCATTCCATTACTCATTTCTTTTGTTTATTCTTATGCCATATCTTCTGAAAATGACATCAACAGAGTTCCACAGGTAACATTTTTCTTATGGCCAATATCTATGAATCCAGATAATAAGTTGACATATATTGTTTGAATGTGGCAGACGTTGTAATAATGCACTATCCTGGACTCTTGCTTCCAAGGAGTACTCTATCAAGTTTACAACATGCTTAGATGACTCTTCTTTGCTCCCCTTTTATTCTTAGTCTATGTGTTTGAAGGCTAAATCTTATCTGGTTAAGATCAACTAAGCTTCACAGGAGTTGAACCTAAGACTATATTTTGCAAACATCAGTACCAGCAATATTTGCATGTGTATCAAAAGAAATCCCAGTATTTACTTTAATTTAGTACTTTACTAGAAAGTTTCCTAAACTGTTCCCAAAGTAATGCAAGAGAACACCGTGTGGAGCTGGAGGAACACAGCAGGCCAGGAAGCATCAAAGGAGTAGGAAAGTTGAAGTTTCGAGTCCTGCTTTTCCAATTCTGAAGCAAGCAAAATTGAAATTACAAAATATTGAAATTCCAAGTATCACCAAATTAAATTTCCTTGTTTTATCATCCCTGGTTTGTTTGTTAAACCATTTGTGCTCAGGTTTATTTCTTGTTTGTGTGAATGATTTTGAATCTCTTTGTGAATGTTTGACATTTGCTCAGCAAATTAGTGGTGGCATGTGAATGACTTGTATCTTATAATATAGAATGAAGCTTAAAACCCAAAAGTGAAAAGTTATTTGTTACAAAAGGCAGCAAGTTGAAGGTCCTATTATCTTCCAGCTTGAGAGCAAAAGTGAGCATGTTGCTGATTGTGTTGAGAGTTTGGGTAGTTTATATGCAAGAATGCTTTTGAATACAGAAGATCCACATGTCTGAAATTAATGGCATTACATCAAATTAAAAGCGCATTCAAGTATTTACTTCCAGCTGGTTATCCGTACAGTCAAAACATTTGTTCGTGGGACAGAACTTGAGATTTGAGCTCAGAAAACACATTGTTATTAGAAAACAAGTTCTGTCTTTATGATTCTGCTTTCTTTTGTACTAGACATTTCAATATTTTCACTTCGACTTGCTCTTATACCACCTTGATATTACAGTCCTTTTTGTTGATCTAAAAATCTTTAGTTATCGTACAGTTTTACCTAGTATGTATTTCAGTTTGCATTTGAATAAATTGGCTTGCTTATTAGATCCACTTGATGCTGTCTTCCCTCTACTATCCTTTCTCTCTTACTGATTCCGTCATGGCACCACTTGACTTTGCATTTAATATTAGTGACCATTTGACTCATTTTGCTTCTATTGGTACTGATTCTTCAACTAAAGTATTCATCAAATTGCAATTCTCTGTCTGTTTCCTTAATATTTTTCTACTTCTCAAATATTTTTTCAGTTATTTATGTTTTGGTTTTCTATATTTAAATAATGTATTGTGAAATGGGGGAAGCATTCCCCTAATCTCCTTTAGTTCTTCTAAGAATATTTTTGAGTTTATTCTGAACTAGCATTTTTGAATATGCATTGTTGCATCTGAGTGATTTCCAATTTTCCTCTGTACAGGCTTTTTAATTAAGCTTTGTAAAGATTTTTCGTTGTATTTTGCATTTATTATTGGTGCATTAGTCAATGTTTACTCTGATGATTACAATGGATCTAATTTAAACATTTTGCATCCTTCCTTGAATTTTGTTCAATAATAACAAGTCTTGTTCGCTAATTGAATTTCAGATTGTTTTCACCATAGCTCAGGAGCTGCACCTGCCATTCTTTTGTATGTTGTCTAGAAGATGATTATATAAACTGCCCCTTGTAACTTACTTGGCACACTACTGTGAAACAATCATGACACGTGTTTACTAATGTACACTGTAATTAACTTATACATTCCTGTTAGAAAAATCAGTGCAGGGTTCATGGTGCAAAGTTAATTGGGGTCTTTAAGTGCAGTGATGTTGCTTAATTAGAATGTTCAGACATTGTGCAATATGGACATTGAGCTGGAAATTGCAGTTAAAAAGGTAGAGCTATCAACAAAATATAAGATGTGTTCAGTGGATAAAGTTCATTTGTCTTCCTGCCATCTGTCTAAAAGAAAATGCTAAATTGTCTTTCATCTGCAGGAGGTTCTTACCCCACAAAAGTGTGGAAACCATATAGTTGTTCGAGGGCTTGTTCGTATTCGCTGTGTCCTGGAAGTGGAGAAGATCTTGTATTTTGTGACAAGAAAGGGCTTGGTCAACACTGGGGTCTTGGCTGTTAACCCAGATCATCCCCTCCTACCCAATTATTATCACAAGGTTAGATAGTGCATGTTGCTTCTTTTTTTTAGATCTTTTTAAACATAATTTCTAAAAACCTGATTTCTAAACAAGGTGGAGAAAAAGACGCTTTTAGGGTAATTCAATTTAAAAAGTAAATTTGATTTTGTGAATAGTAGATAATATACTTCAAAACAACACTACTTGAAAGTAGTTCACTTGTCTGACTTGATAATGTACAAATTTCACTGGATAATGTGATTGTAAAATGAAAGAAAATAATCCTGTGTTCATTTATTTTGCTTTATATTACTTTAATTATTAATGTTTGTGGGTGTTCTTGGATACTTGCAAAATCCCTCTCATTATATGTTGCCAAGCTGTTCAAATTGTAACTCCAAGGGTCAAGCAGATGAAAAACCAACAGTTAAACATTCTTGTTTAATTATTTCACAATTATGAATAAAATGAAATTTACAGTACTAAGAGGTAAAATGACCTGTTGCATCCACAATGGTTGCAAACAACTATCAAGTTTAATCATCCTTTCTCGCTCAATGCCCATAACTGCACATCCATATACGTTCTAAAAGAAATGAGGGTTTCTGCCTCTACCACCCTTTTTAAGGTAGTAAATTCCAGACACCCTCAACTTGGTGAAATGAGCTTTCCTAAATTTTCTGCTACTTCTTCTTAAAATGACAGACAGGCAGCCAAATCAAATCAGCCTCCCTGTTCCTGTATTTGCCACACAGCAAAATTAAAACATTCAGTGACCCTCAAAATTGACCCAAGACTTGCTGAATAACCAGTATCAGACTTGGTGAATGACTGATAGCAGACACTAAATTTGTAGCTGAAATAAAACAAGTAACAATTTATTAGTAATACAGTAGTTCTGGAAGAGCAAAGTTAAACCTCATGGTAATCTAATTAGTCAATAATTTAAACTCTATCTTCTTTGATTGTGGCAACACCACCCCCCCCCGCACGCATGCGCGCGCGCGCGCACACACACACACACACACACACACACACACACACACACACACACACTCAAAGGCTGACAAATAGACATAGTTAAGGGATAAAAAAGGTAATTGACCAGTTTACCTAGGCAGATTCCACATACCGTAATATCACAGACACATGGATTGTGTTTTGCTTAGTTTCTGAAGATACCGATGCATGCAAATAGCTTCCAGTAGACTGAGGAATATTCACTTAATACTTATAACTGCTTTTATTATCCGAACTTTGAATAAGTTGATAAGGGAGGATAGCCAAGGACCTTTGACCTATAGTCAAAGCCACAATCTTTCTGACTTAGTTCAAAACCAGTTTAAACTTTGGTTTCTCTTTCTTTCTTAGATTGGTTGTCTCCCAAAAGGGCCTCTGTTAACTTTCAAACATCTATCATCTATTTGATCATAATTCATCTCTAGAACCAAAACATCTACAGCATTTTTTGAACAAGAATCAACCTGCAAATAATTTCCAGTCCGAGCTTAAGCAAACATCAGTTTGTCTGTTTTTTTTAAAATCTGTTGCTGACAGTCTAATGGCCACCTTCAGCTCTCAGCTCAGTTCAACCAAAAATGATAAAAATAATAAAAATAAAATGAAAAATCAGTGAGGGTTCTAACACAGTTTATTCAAAAATATGCCATCAGTTAATTGACCTCTCTGCTGGGAGAAACAGTCTATCCAGCCTAGTTCCCTCATAAAACTTTACACCTTGGTTGAATCTTTCTTTAGCTGTTTCTGTTCTAAAGAAAACAACCCTAGGTCTATCTAATCTATCTTCAGCTAAAACTCTTAATTCCTGGCAGCATCCTCATAAGTCACCTCTGTACAGACTTTAGCATTTGTTTCCTGCAATGCATTAGCATTGTAACTAGTGTAATGTAACTAGAGTTTTGCAGAAATGGAATGTTAACCTCTCTGGTGTTACTCTATATGAATTGGTCAATAAAGGGGAATTATGCCTAGTGATTTGCTATCATCAGATAAATTCATTTGGAGTGAATTTATTATAATTGCACAAATGTTGCCTATCATTCATTAGAATTGCCCCTTCCTGTTAAATTCTTTTAAGCTTTTGCAAGGCTACTTGTTCTAAGTGGGACATTGAAATGGCCCATATTCACCTAGAACCTTTGTGAATGAGGTGCAAACAACTTCCTGTTTCATGAAGCAGTCAGATTGAGGAATTGTTAATCAACAGTACAGACTCTGAACCGTGAAGTTAGAAAAGCAAATGTTGTCTCAAGTCAGGAAACAGAATCCACAAGTAAGTAAATATTTGATTTAATAGAGCAGAAACAAGCCAAGTTATTTTTAAAAATAATTTAAAAACGAATGGAATAATAACTAAAATTTGAATGACTGAAACTCCATACTTGTAGAAGTTAATTTTCAAGAAGTTTTTTCCTTAATTGGAGTCACTGCACTTTTAGAAAGGGTACACAGTGTAATAGGCAAGCTGTAACTTTTTGTGATTTCAGTTCACAGTTTTGGTGCAAGTACAGCAACTTGGCAAACTCAGTATACTTAAATGGACAGCTAGAAAGTGAGGTGCCATTTTCAGAGCTTATGGCAGCAAGGTGTATCTCAATACTTACTGTAAACTTTGTCTCAATTACTTTTACAGTAAATTCTAGCCTGTAATTGATTTTTGTGTTAAAGTTCATCTTGCTATTAACTTCCACCAGAAATATTAAAATTCCTCCTTGATGTGAAACGGAGTATAATTTATCATTTCCGAAGTGCCAGATACATTAACAGGGTGATAGTTACTATTTGGTCCATCAGTCTCCTGTTTCATGTTAAGTTCCCCACCATTTTTCTCTGTTGTAAATTTGGGAGTCCCACTTTATTTTCAGGGATTATATTTGCTTCTTGATTGTGCAATGTTAAGTACTTGTCACAGTCCCTCAGATAATGAAATGTCTCTGCTTGCATACAGCAAGATATGGACAACATTCAGATTTGGGCTGGTAAGTGGCACGTAAAATTCAAGTCCATGGCCACCTCCAACAAGGCAGAATCTAACCATCTCCCCATGATGTTTAATGGCATACTAATAACTATGAACTTCCCACCATCGATATCCTTGTTATTAATATTGAAGGGAAAATTAACTGGACTTGTGATCTAAGTACTGTTGCATGAGAGGCTGAGAATTTTGCAATAACTACCTGTCCAGACTCTCCAAAGCCCGTGTGCTACCAAAAAGGCAGAAGTTAGGAGTGTGGATGCCTGAATGAGTGTAGCTCCACTAACTCTGGAGCAGCTCAATGCCTTTCAGGACAAAGTAACCAGTTATATACCAGTCTGAGTTGGCAACATGTGATGATTTCTTTGTCATATGGCCAAAATCCTGTGACTGTCCTAAAATGCAGTGTGGGTGTACGTGGACTGCAGCAGATCAAGAAGATCACTCCCCACCTGTGTCGCAAGGGCAATTAGGGATGGACAATAAATGCAGGCCTTGCTGGAGGTGTTCACATTCCCCAAACTGATTTATTAACTCAGTCCCTGAGATTCTTTGTCATTGCTATGACATCAGTTATTGATGTTGATGCCACTGAGAATTTTGAGTATCCCCTGGTGTTTTGGTAAATTAACTCCTCTCTGGGTAATTAATTTCAGCTAACACTTTTTTGAAAAAAATATGCCAGGTGCTTACTGAGGATTAGAAAGTGTAGAGTATTGCCAAACATTAGAGCACTGTAAGCATAGTTGTTTATTTGACCTTTGTTGGAATCTCCTGTTCAAATGACAATGTAACTGAAAAACAGATTAGAAAAGTAGTAAAACCTGTTCTTGGTTATTTCATGTTTTTTGCAACCATTGTGATATTAGTATGTTGATCTTGATTAGCAGCCCTCTAGGTGTTTGCTTTTTAAATAACTGAAAATTATTAGTTGAAATTTTGTTGCTTTTAAAATGTTCTATCACTTGTCATGTTATTGATTCAGTAGTTAACTTATTATTGAAAACGTAACAAACCAGTTCTCCTTGCTAAAGTTCTATCTGTTTGGTATTTGTATCAAGTATTTTTAAATTTGTGATTTATCAATTGTAGTGTATTATTTTTATTTTTTACAGAAACATGTTATTGTAATTGGTGCTGGTGCAGCAGGCTTAGCAGCTGCACAACAACTGCAAAATTTTGGAATTAAGGTAAGTCCGTTCTTTAGAAAACTTGTAATTAAAAATTGGGCACAAAAGCTAAACTTTAGCCAACTTCATCAAATTTGGCCAACATGTCTACTTGAAATAACTAAATTGGATCATTTTTCAAAGAAAATTTGTACCTTAAATTATTTGGTTGCCTTAATGGTTTGAATTAATATATTTTACACAAAGACATTCAATAAGAAGTGAGCTTGCAAATATTGACATTAGGCACTGAACATTACCAGGAGAAGGTCTGATAAAGACCCTGTGAAGTCAATTGACTGTCCTGTTTTGATGTTTAGATAATTGATGTGGTTGTTTTGAAAATGTATTAGAATTTGTTTTCCAATATTCCTGTTCTCTTTGCTCCTTTCACCCAGCTGGGGTACAGTTCCACGTGTGTTGTCTATTCCCTCTCCTTTTCACTGCAACTTTCCATTCTTTATTAGGGAGGGCATTACAATTGAGCTGTTTCTGTCCTTATTCATTGGTATCCATGAGGGGTTTATTTTTTAGTAGTAGTAACAGTTTCATGGTTACCAGTTGTTTATTCTCTTTCCATTACTTTTTTCTTCACAATTTTGAACAACACATGAGAGTAAAGTTGGTTAACGTAATTTGAAGGGACGTCTATTTTGACAGGGGATGAGATGGGGATGGGCGTAGAGTGCTTTTAATACTGTGTTTTACTTGTCAAAAGTACCTGGTAAAAGTCCAGTTTTAGATATCATCGTAAATGTTTGTTTTTTTTTTCAAACTTAATTGTCAATAAGGGTTTATGTGCTTGGTGACCTGTTGAGTCAGGAAATATTTAATGAAATAATGAAATTTTTTTTTTGTTCCAACTGTTGTTCCCAAACATTTTAGTCATTTAATCAGTATTGATGATACGTTGACAAATCTAGGGTCAGGGCATATGGTCTAAATATTGACAGAGATTTGTCAGGAGCAAATTTAAGAAATGCTACACATAGATGTGGTCGAAATTTTGACATCTCTTGTTCAGTTGGCAGTTCATGCTAAATCATTTAACTTTAAACCTAAGATAACAAGGTGTAGAGCTGGATGAACACAGCAGACCAAGCAGCATCAGAGGAGCAGGAAAGCTGACGTTTCAGGCCAATGTAACGGAGGAAGAGGTGGGGTCTAGGGCCAGTGTAGGTGTGGAAGAGGGATTGTTCCACGTAACCTACAGAGAGGCAGGTATAGCTTGGGCCTATGTGGGTACCCATGTCCACCCCCTTTGTCTGTAGGAAGTGGGAGGAATTGAAAGAGAAGTTGTTGAGGGTGAGGACGAGTTTGGCTAAGCGGATGAGGGTGTCAGTGGAGGGGGACTGGTTGGGCCTGCGGGACAGGAAGAAGCGGAGGGCCTTTAGGCCATCTGTATGGGGAATGCAGGTGTATAGGGACTGGACGTCCATGGTAAAAATGAGGTGTTGGGGACTGGGAAATTGGAAGTTCTGGAGGAGGTGGAGGGTGTGGGTGGTGTCACAGATGTAGATAGGGAGTTCCTGGACCAAGGGGGAGAAAATGGAGTCCAGATAGGTGGAGAGAAGTTCGGTGGGGCAGGAGCAGGCGGAGACAATGGGTCGACCAGGGCAGTCAGGTTTGTGGATTTTGAGAAGGAGATAGAAGCAGGCGGTGCAGGGTTGGGGAATGATGAGGTTGGAGGTTGTGGGTGGGAGGTCACCTGAGGTGATGAGGTTGTGGATGGTTTGGTGGTCGGGGATGGGGTCATGATCAAGGGGGTGGTAGGAGGTGGTGTCGGAGAGTTGGCGCCTGGCCTCGGCGATGTCGGTTACGTGGAACGATCCCTCTTCCGTACCTACACTGGCCCGAAACCCCACCTCTTCCTCGGTTACATTGATTGCATCAGCGCCGCCTTGTGCTCCCAGGAGGAGCTCGAACAGTTCATCCTCTTCACCAACACTTTCCACCCCAACCTTAAGTTCACCTGGACCATCTCTAATACCTCTCTCTCCTTCCTGGACCGCTCTGTCTCCATCTCTGGCAACCACCTAGAAACGATATCCATTTCAAGCCCACAGACTTCCACAGCTGCCTAGAATACACCTCCTCCCACCCACCTTCCTGCAAAAATGGCATCCCCTATTCCCAATTCCTTCGCCTCCACCGCATCTGCTCCCAGGATGAGGCATTCCACTCCCATACATCTCTGATGTCCTCCGTCCTCGTTTTTCAAGAACCTCAACATCCCCCCCCGACCTCAGCGGTCAAGAACGCCCTCGACCGTGTCTCTCGCATTTCCCGCAACTCATCCCTCACACTCCCTCCCCGCAATAACAACCAAAACAAAATCCCCCTCATCCTCACGTACCACCCCACCAAGCTCCGGATCCGACGCATCATCCTCCGACACTTCCGCCATCCTGCAATCCGACCCCACCACCAAAGACAATTTTCCCTCCCCACCCTTATCTGCTTTCTGGAGGGACCACTCTCTCCGTGACTCCCTTGTCTGCTCGACCCACCCCTCCAGCCCCACCACACCCAGCACTTTTCCCTGCAACCACAGGA